ATTGTTATTTTTATATTTTTTAATTTTTTCTATTTAAATTAACTTTACTGTTTGCGTATTTCTTTTTGTAAAATTGATTTTTATCGTTTTGCTTTCATAATTTTCTAATTTGATTTAATTTCCTTTTCGTTTCATAATAATTTGATTAATGGACGCGCTTAATTAGGAATACCAGCGCAAGCCCTGGCAATTCAACGTGCCCATACCCAGTACGCCATCCTATGTGCCAACGACGCGCGTCTCCTGGGACGACACAAAGATCTATGCGACGAGCGCGAACAGCGCGAATGCCTTGGCCAATGGGCTGAATGGCTGCCACAGAAGTGGCCTGGGCACTGTGGGTGGGGGCGATGCCTACTACTGCACGGGCAGCAATCACGAGTGCTGCAACGGCAACGATGTGGTGCTCATTAAGGTGGGTGGTTGGGTAGGGTTGGGTTGGGTCGGATACTTGGCAAATGTCAGTTGTAGGCGCAATCGTAGGCGTAGTCGTCCTTGAACTTTAAGTGCCGCATGTCAGTGACTAAATTCTCTCTCTCTCTCTCTGTCCCTCTCGCTGTCCATTGCAGGTGCGTCAGCCACGTGGCAAGAGCCTGGAATCGCTCGAGGATATCCACGACAACAGCACGCGCAGCCATTTGACCTTTAGCCACTATACGACCACGGACTATGGACATTTCGGGCCGCCCACGACAGCGGCAGCAGCAGCAGCCATGGCAGCTGCCGCCTCACTGCAACAGCAGCAGCAGCAGCATCATCAGCTGCTGCAACAGCAGCAGCAGCAGGCGGCTGCAGCACGTCTGCTGGGCAGCAATGCGGCAGCCATGGCCTGGCGACGTTCCTACGACGATGGCGACATAACACCCACCAACGATGCCACGCGCGAGCTGCTCTACGAGGAGGGCGGCGGCACGCTGCCACGGCAGCAGCGCGGCATACTGCAACGCGCCGTGCTGAATACGATGCCGCCACTGGAGCATCATCACTACATGAATGCGGCGGCGGCGGCCGAGTATGTGACAGCCGGTGGTGCTGATGGTGCAACAGTGAGTAGACGACACATAGAGTGGACAGAAAGAACTCTGGTGGCACTCAAATGCTAACGCTTCCTCTTCTCCTTCTCTTGCAGTCCTATTTGAGCGGCAGCCCCTTGACGGGCAAGAAGATTGCGCCGGAGCCGCCGCGGCGTCACTGCAGCATACGCAATTCCCGGCAGTTGAGCACGGATGGCTCGCAGCAGGCGCCAGTTGCCGGAGTGAACCAACAGCAGCAGCAGCAGCAACAGCAACAGCAGCAGCAACAACAGCAGCAGCAACAGCACATGTTCTATGGCCACACGGCACAGCACTGGCAGCAGCAGCAGCAGGCGGCCGGCCTGAATGCCCAGCAGCAGCCGATCTATGCCAACTATGCGACCATACAGCAGACAACGGCCGAGATACACTGCGAGAAGTATCATGACAATAAATCGAATTCCAGCATCGATTCGATTGATACGATACCGTTTGCCAATGAGAACACCGGCACCATCAAGCAGCGTCTGCTCAATCGCCAGGAGCTGCCGGGCATCGGCGGTGCAGCGGGATCGAGTGCTGGACATCATGCGGCCGGCACGCATCTGCATTCCTCCAGCTCCAGTTCCAGTTCGTCGTCGACGAACACCATTGCCAATATAGCGCACTCGTTCCACTCGCTGAAATCTTCCAGTTCGCTGCACGATGCCACAATGGCGCGCAGCGACAGCATGAATAGCACCGCAAGCGCTGGCAGCAGCGCGCTGCACTTGCGCTCACCCACCCTAGATATGGCCAGTGGTGCTGGCAGTGGCATCATTGAGTCTGCCTCATCACCAGAGCCAACGGCAGCTGTGCCAGCAGGAGTCACTTCTGCTGCTGCTGCTGCTGCACCGACCACTGTCAATGCGGTGCCGCCAAAGGTGTCGGTCAATGTGCTCAACGACATTGGCAACATGTTGGCCAATTTAACAGATGAGCTCGACGCCATGCTCGAGGAGGAGAAGCGAGTGGGTCTCAACATAGACAGTGAGTAAGGGCAGAGGCGCGCTCCGCCATCGCAGCAGCAACAACAAACAATCCGAACACAGAAAGTTTCCTTAAGATGAACACCCGCAACTCGTGTCCCGAGCAACATTCACGTAGTGTAGCTGAATTGTTTGTAAACGTAAACATAAACGTGTAATGTGTTTTTTTTAGTTTGCTGTCCCGCGTCGATTTACAGTTATGTTTTTATATCATTTGTCTAGTTCTTATTGATGTCTTAGTTATAATTGAATTGCCTAAGTCGAAAGGCTCTGCATAGGTGCATCAAATGTAGTTATATCAATAATTGGTCTACTTATGTTATGGCAGTCTTAGAGCTGAACTAAATTTAGTTAATTATCTGTTAAACTTTAAACAAATGGCAGCACAAGTGTTGCTCTCACGTGTACAAAGCAATAGATCGATATATGTATTTAATTTTCATATAAAAAAAAAAAAAAAAAAAAAAAAGAAATCCAGCTAAATATCAGACATTCCAAACTTGAAAACTTGAAAATATAAATAAATAAATATGAATAATTGTATATTTGTTTTGGCTGCTAAGCCACAAGCTGTAGCATAAATAGACCAATTAGTTACTGTCTAAGTTAAATAGTTTTTACATATTAATGACGAGGCCAGTTATTTTTTTAAAGTTAATTATGATTGATTTACACAATATTTAGCTGTGTATTAAATGAAACTCGAAAAACTACAACAGAAAAGCTTTTGAAACACGTATACTTTTGTACTTTCCCTATGAATGTTAACAAAAAACAAAAGAAAACGCAAAATTAAAAAAAAAAAAAATCGAGAAATATTAAAAAAAATAGCAAACAATAAGGAATATCTGAAGATAATGAAAAGTAAGCGCAAATTGCATATATGCAACACTTGCATAGTTAATATATATAGCATAAAATATATATATATATATTTAAAGATATATATTAGCGTTATATTAAGCAAGCGAAATACGGGCATCAATGCTAAATAACGTATAGAAATTCCGTGGTATACACTTCTAATGCCTTTCTTTATCATTTACTTAAATAAACAATTTTTTAGAGAAGAATTGAATTGTTTTTATTTTGATTTCGATTTGAACTTTTTCAGTTGTAAAACGAGTTGTATTGTTTGCGCCTAAGTTAATTTGTTTTGGTGCGCATATCATTATTAGTAATTGAAATTGAAAATTATATAAAAGAAATATACATAAACGTATACATAAATGCATATACATACATATATATTATCAAATGCAAAGGAAATCACACAACATGTAAAGCACATAATGGACAAAAACAAAACGAAAACAATTAAAGAAAATAAAATTTCATAGTAAAAACGTATGAAATTATTTTATTGAAGAGTTTGAAGACAAATTCGAAGCTGGCTAAGTTTAAATATTGCGCCAACTTTTATCTCGTTTGGTATTTTTTATAAGCTAACATGAAATGTTTCCACTGGCTTCTCTTTTAACATTTTCACTCCTCACATAACAGTATTACTACTAAGTCCCAAATATATGGTGCATATGCATTTTATGAAATTTGAATATTTGGTTTAGTTTGCTTTTAATGCGAAAGCCTATATATATAAATATATTAAATCACAAAATTACACATTACAGTGAATTATTCAGACTGTTAACATTGCTTTTTATCGATAGCTATCGATACATGTAAGCATTTATGTGCTATATCTATTGCTACTTCTTGCGGTCACACTGAGTCTGCTTTTCACTTACACCGCGTTCGGTCGCTCCGATAATTTTAAGATAGTCATAGAATTTATATCAACAAAAATAACAAAAACCAATAATAATAGAAGTGAGTGAGTGTGTGTGCGTGCGTGTATACAATTAATAGTATTTGTGTTTATATATATAATTGTAATTGTTGTTTAATTTCTTCGCGTCTACACTCTGTACTTCTCTTACCCTCACGCTTTCTTGCATCACACAAACAACGCAGTACAACAAATACTATTATTATTATTTTTTTTTTATTTTGCTTAAATTAGTAAATTCCCAATGTGAAAAATATTTACATATTTTCGGCAACTCACACATAAACACAAAACACACATGCTAAAGCTCATGTGATTAACTAAATTTTATCACGGGCAGAGCCAAAATAAATAGTAAATACGCTGGCCAATAAATGCAAGTGAAAATGCAAATGTATACTAATTGAAAAAGGCGCAAACAGAGCAAGCAACCGCAACAACAACCACAGGAGCAGCTGGCGACAAAAGTGAAAAGCGATTTCAATTGAGAAACTTGGATTTGGCAGGCAACAAATTTGCTCAGAGTGCAAAATGTCAAACACTGAAGACAGCGAGCTGGACCCGCAAATTCAGGTGAGCCCAGGGCAGAAATTGCACGTGTGTGCGAGTTTGGTGCCAGGCACCGCGACCAGCGCGCATAACAACAAAAGAGAAGGAGAAAGAAACATAAAAATAAAAGAAAAACAACAATGCTCAGCTGTTGTTGCCTTGACAAGTTTTACTGTTGTTTTTGTTTTACTCTTGGCTTTGTTTGTAAGTTGTTATTGTGGCGCTCTCTTTGTTTACTGACGTAGTCTCTCATTCTGCACCTTTCTCCCTTCTACCCCTTACTAAGTGCTCACTATTAATTAGTTTGACAGTTGCTTAAGCCTTCTACAGGAAGGCGGCATTAGTTATTCATTGCACTTTTTGTTGCAAATTTACATTAACATTTATTTTTTGGTTTATTGCATGCGCATTTTTTACGCTCGACTGCATTTTGTCGACTCAAGCAAAAATCATCAATTTTCCTAACGTTTTGCCTGACAATTAAACAAATTGTTCGCTTCCTTTAATGAAACTGTTAAATATTCATGGGAAATGGCTGCCAAGAGCACACTTGACAAAACAACAGTACACTTCCAGACATCTTCTCTCGGTTCCTTTTTAGCGTCCTTTCAATGTCCTTACTTGTCAAGTGCGTTTTCTGCCTTGCTGCCTCTGTCTCTTCCAAGTAATTGCATTTTACACTCCGTGCGTAATTCCGAACTCACATTCGTACATATTCAATTGTGGATGCTTGTGTATGTATATACTGTACTTCATAAATATACGCTTTGTATGTATATATGTATGTGGGTGACCATTCGATATGTTTGACCAAATACAAACTCAATTACTGCAGTGTGTGTGTGGCTTAGGTGTGGCTTATGCAGTGCAAGCGAGAACGCAACAGTCACATAGATATTCGGGGAATGGCAGCGGCGGCATGCATAGAAATTAAACGCTTTGGGAAATGCCAAAACGCCGACGCAAGCAGATGAAAACAAAAATGTGCAAATTATATGCCCAAAGCAAAATCAAAGTATTTCTTTCCTTTGTATTTATTTGTTTTCAAGTTGCCAGAGACTTGTGCGCAGTTTGAATAAATTAAGCTGAGCTCATGTTATTTGCTGTATTTTGTTGCTTCCTTTATGATATTCTTTGTTATGATGCCAAGATTGAGAATTTGTAATTATATATGTATTTATACATACATATGTATATGGAATCATATTATAAGAAAAGTATATATTCATGCTCAACTTATTCGGTGCAGTACATTTCCATGAATAAAAATTTCTCATCAGTGCCATTAATTTCTCATTCGGCCGCCATTTGTCTATTATTATACACACACATACATACAAAATAAATATCCCACGCTGCGTAAAAACGTTTACATTGATGTAGAGCTAAATCACATGCCTTTAATTTGATTGGAACGTTCGTCATGTCTGTGTACTTGTTATTGTGTGTGTGTGAAAGAGAATTCACTCATTTGTATTATGTACAAAATTTAAGATTCTTCTAAACAAAAAACCTGTTTTTATGCACATAGCGAAAATTGCCGAATACGTCTTTAGGCACCTTCAATACTAAATATTCGTACATACACATACATACACACACACACACACAGCCAAATGATCATAAATATTTATTTTTGTCTTTGAGGTGCTTTTCTATGCTTTATGCACCACTTCCTCTTATTTTTTGCTACCGGCTTGTTAGGTGCTTCTACGTTTATCAATGAAATTTTCAGCGCGTGCAATTTAGTGGCTCGTTGTCTTATCAAAGATGTCGCCCACACGTCAATAGCGTGAGAAAGAGAGAGGCCGACATGTGCAAAGAGAGAATGAGCAAACAAGTGTATAAATAGAGCGCAAGACACTTGATGACGTCTTACCTACCTGAGGCAGGCGTAAAATGAAGAAAGCAAATAGACTAACAATGAAAAAAGAAAAAAAAAAAAAATAATAATAATAGAATAAAAAGCTTCTTCTTTATCTTCGATTTGGACAGCTGTTTAGGTGTTTATATTTGCGATCCACTGAAGTTGTGTCTCAAGTCTGCCTCCCACTCGTGTCAGGTGCCAACACGGGCAATGTGTAGTTATTTGTGTGGGGAATTTTTCATATAGTTTATTTTTCATGGAATTATCAAGCTTTCTTCGTCGTGAGCTATGAATTTAGTTAACACTTATCACTGATGGGCTAATACTACTAATATCTATATATAAGCGATAAAATATGATATCACGTTTTTTAAAATAGCAAAATATGATTATTTCCCTATTTATTTATATAGAAAATAACGTCATAGTAGAATGACTTCAAATAAGTCATTCACATATATATATATTACCTGCAATGAAATTATGGAATCGATTATCAACGGTTTTGTATTGAATATTTTAATTTTAAATTTCAATACTTGCCGACAGTAAAATTTTTGCCTTGTTCCAGTTGATAATTTGATTACGATAGGAAATTTAATCCATGTCTAGCTGAATGTTTGCCTATGACTAATAAAGACACGATACCTGTATGCCTTTTTTTGTCAGCAAGGTGAGACATGGCGCGATATAGAGAACACGAAAACCTCTAGTGATTCACGTAATGCTCGCCTGACAAAGCCATTAATGTGCATACTTATATACATATAGTATTCTAATGATTCAAAAGGAGAGTGCTGTAAAAGTAATTAACGGAAAACTGCTTAATTCACACGTATATTCAATACCTGGAAGCACGAATGAATTAACAATATATGTAGATAAGTTAATTGGCGTAAAATAAACAATAACATCTATTGTGTGCAGCTTAAACATTTTTATTATTAAAAAAAAAAAATTAATTTATTATAATAAATAAAAAAAAAAAATCCCTTGGCAGCGGTGGGATTCGAACCCACGCCTCCGAGGAGACTGGTGCCTTAAACCAGCGCCTTAGACCGCTCGGCCACGCTACCATATGGCTGGCCGCGTTCAAATACATTTCTCATGCTATATCGCGTTGTCGCTGTGGGCTTAATTATATTTATCAGGCCTACAAAAATATTTCCAATCTTATTGTTGGCTTTATTTATTTTTAAATCAGAGGCAACAGTAAGTGATAAAAAAAAAAAAGATTTGAATTGCTTGCCACTTGTGCGACAATGGGCGAAGCTCCCACGCAGCGTTGTCAGTATTTTTATCGCTGTCACACCATCAGCGTGCGAGCAGACAGTGCGGCAATTGAAACTTGAATAAATGCTTTTTGTCTCGCTTGCACTGGAGTGCAGTAATTTATGAATTTCATAAGCTAAGATGATCTAACGGACGTTGTGAGGCATATGAGAAATGGGCTTAGTTACAGCATTTATGTATAATCATTCGCTCTGCCATTTTATAATTTATTATTATATGTACATAATTTTAAAGTATTTTCAAAGGAAATATATAATTTTGCGATTGTATTTTCAATGTTGCTCAAATATATGACTTTCGCCTTGTTGTTTGTCATGTTTGTCTGTCTGTTTCTATTGTTTGTCTGTCATGCTCATGTATTTTGATAGCATCACAGTGGCGCCTTCATCTCTATCATTCGCCTCTTCTCCAATGATGCACAACAGCAATCTATGGCAAAAGTCGCCAACATTTCGCTCGCGGTTACCGCACACAATTTACATTCGCTATTAGTTGTGGGGCTTTTGCCTTAATTAATTCGTGCCGCAAGCGAAATGCACAGCAGTTTTGTTATGTTGTTTATGGTTTATATAAATAGAAACTGAAATCTTAATTGTTGGGCTTTATCTGACATGTTCATATAGCATGGCGAACATGTTTCCCAATGGAAAAAAAAAAAAACAATCAGAAACAATCTTATCAATCTAACAAAGTTATTACTTGTTTCCGTAACTATTCGAAAGTTCAATTGCTTGAACTTTAAAAAGGGGGGAAGAATGAGATGCAGTTTCCTAATTGCAATTTGCAATTTGTTTATCTTGAATCGATAAGGTAAAATGTTATCTTTGAAATGTGGGCAATAGATAGAATACAAAATATATAGTATTCATAGTCTTTATCTGCTTAACAAACAATCAATGCCAATCAACCCATGAAATCTGAAGTATTACTTACGATTCCATCTCTGTTTATTTGATTTGATTAGATGTTGCAAAAATGTAATCTTCAATAAAATTAAATCAAACTTGCCATACTTTAAAGTAAAAATATGAATCAGACTTATAGCTAAAATTCAGTATATTATAATTGGACTTTACTGTAGCAGTCAAAGCTTGTTGTTATATTAGCAGAGTGAAAATACGCCCTCATTTGTCAAATATGAAATTAAAGCAAATTCCACATTTTTAGACATTAATCTCCATAATTTATCTTCGCTTTGATTGCCTCTCATATCTTATTCAAGTACATAAAGAATTTTCTTTTCAAGACCACATATTGAGCAATCCAAAAAGAAACTTTTGGTTGGACAGCATTCCAGAGATTTTAAGAATCATAAGCAAACAAACAGTTTATTCTGCTGTCGTTCAACTTAGCTGGCTTTCTACTCAGAAAAAAGCCAAACTCAAATTCTGTGAAAAAGCCATTAATGTAAATATGTATATAAGTATGTTTGTTGCTATAGCAACATTTTATCCAATCTCTTTTGTTTAACTATTGAACGCAAAGCTCATAATTTATAGACGTCTGACATCTCAGGCTGCCCACTTCAGACTCATTTGTATACCCTAGAATTGTTTGGCAAAGGGGGAAGATCAGGATGTGGGAGTGTAGCTAGGCGACGATGGAGAAAGCTTCTATGTATGTAGTAAATATTTTGTGTATGTAGAGAATAAGTAACTGATTGGAATATCTATATCTATATTTATATTTATATATTGTATATATTGTGTAATATAAATATTTCTTATCTATGCACTTTTAAGTTCCTGTTTAGTATCATTATAAAACATTATTATGCCCTAACTATCATAGATCGTCAGGGCATATGCTAGTCGTGTACTGCCTACACTTTTACTTGTTAATTATCAGATTTTGGCCATTGGCT